ATATATATATATATATATTATCAATGTTTAATGAAAGATACATAAGAAAAGTGACTCTTATACATAATACTTTAATGGAGATCTCGGTTATTAGTTATTAATTCTATACATTTAATAATATGTATACTCTATTTTTTCCAAATAATTTTCTCTTTCTCTGTATGGAGCATTCTTTATTCCGAAAGAAACTTTCTTTGTATGATCATTAACATGTACTATTAAGAAGAATAAAAAAAATAAAAAAATAAAAGCTTAATATTGAAGCAACTTCGATTTAAAAGTTTCACCGTAAACAAATCGTCACATTTAACTTTGATTTATTATTAAAAAATCATCCTTAAAAAGCCATATATATATATATATTATATTTATAGTTATATCAAGTTTTTTAGATTTCAATAATGTTATTTTAAAGGTGTTATTATTATTTTTTATGTGTCAATAACGTCAATTTTTTTGGGTACAGTGTAATTCTGTTAGTTTGTATGTGGTATGAGAATTCAAACTCATACCTATAAAAAGGTGAAAGCTCATCAAAATCCTAAAACACTTGTGACAATTCATGTTCACGTGTAATACCGTTAGTTATGTTGGTTTAGTGAAGTAACAACGTAAAAAAAAAAATGTAAATGTGTGAAAACGTTAGGAAATAATTTTTTTTTGGGAATTAGGAAATGTTTAAAAAAAATAAAAAGAATTAAAAGTTATAAACGGAGCATATATAATTTTTCTTCCAATGGGAGAGGAGAATAATTGACCCAATGTATGTTCTGTGTGACCTAACTTACCTAAAGTGAAAAGTGGTTATATCTTTCAAACCCTAAAAAAAGGACAAAATGAAGAAAAAGCATTGTGCAACCCCACATGCAGAACAGAACCACCGCCCAAGAATCAAAATTCGTTGTTGACTCAGAACATTTTTGTGCTTTTGGTTTTTCTTCTCTCCCATTTTGGCAGGCAGATATATTATTCATTCCTTCCAAATTCTGGATTTATATCAGTCGTTTTCCCTTTCCATACATAAGGATTGGTAACATTTGATAAACATTTTATTAAATAAAAATCTATACACATTCAAATGAGTGCATTTTTTTTTATAGTTTTACTTATCTAAACAATATATAATTTTTGTTTTATTTTACTTTATGTTCCATTTTTCCCCTCCTGTTTTTATCCATCTAGGCAGATGATAAACACACCTCCACTCTCGTATAAACACACCCCCTTTTTAAAAAAAAATATATAAAATATCTAAATTACCCTTAAAAAAAATTCTTAAATTTACACCCCCTTCCCCGCACTCCCTTTCCCCGCATCCCCTTCCCCCCTTCCCCGCACTCCCGCAATAAGGTCTCATTAAGGAACCGGTATTTTCATTCTGGTTCAACCGCAACCCAGAGGAAGAGGAAGGGGGTGAGATTGTTTTTGGTGGTGTTGATCCTGCTCACTATAAGGGAAAGCACACTTACGTGCCTGTGACCAGAAAAGGATATTGGCAGGTTATACTTTTTTTTTAATTCTTAATATTTTTTTATTTACATTTTTCTCTTTGTTAATTTTCATTTTTATTTTCAGTTTGATATGGGAGATGTACTTATTGCCGGTAAACCCACTGGTATGTGTAGAAAATGTGTTAGCAGAAGTGACAAGTTGTTCTTCCCATGATGTATTGTTGGCATTTTCATTAATGCGTTATAGTTTCAATTTATTTGGTCTGACCTGATCTAATTGTCTATCAGGATATTGTGCTGATGGTTGTTCAGCCATTGCAGACTCATGGACTTCTTTGTTGGCAGGTCCAACGGTATGAATGAATTCTTGTAAATATAGATTAATATTTATATAGTTTTCAATTTAACATGGTTATATTATATGCAGTAGTTTTCCCATGAGACACTGTCTCTGTCAGTTCATGATAATAATTTTTTTTAACAATTAGTGCATTGTTTATAATTGCCGTATGAAAAAAGGTTAAACAAATGCTTCTGACTGACTTGTTTCTACGATCACATTTTTGGTTTTGTTTTTGAAGACTGTAATAACTATGATTAACCATGCAATTGGAGCATCTGGAGTTATAAGCCAAGAATGCAGGGTGCGGGGAAGGGGGGTGCCGGGAAGGGGGTGCGGGGAAGGGAGTGTAAATTTAAGAATTTTATTTTTTTTAAGGGTAATTTAGACATTTTATATATATTTTTTTAAAAAGGGGGTGTGTTTATACGAGAGTGGAGGTGTGTTTATCATCTGCCAATTCTAAATAATACATCTCTTACTTATATATTTCTCCATTGGGCCCAAGGCAAGCAAGGGTTATGACTAATGAGTAAGCCCCTTTTATGAAAGTTAATCTTTAGGCCCAATGATCATTGGGTTATGGTGGTTAGAGAGAAGCATATATGTGGAGATAATGATAAGCCCATAATTAAAAAGAGAGGATGACCCTCCAATTTATGGTATGGTGTGGGCAATCAATGTTTGGAATGATGTGGAAAGAAACCTTGTTTGGATAGCTTTAGTCACCATTTGCCATTCAGAATTAAATCAAGTTCTTAATTAAAGGCTTTGATGCATTCCTCCACCACCCTCCAATCTGCATCTTATAATCCCATTTGTTGGAAGTAGGCATGGCAACGGGGCAGGGCGAGTTTTACGTTCTCCGCTCCCGCCTCCGTAAATTTAAATCACTCTCGCCCCGTCTTTGATATCCGTTAAAGATAAAATTTAGGTCCCCATCCCTGTCTCCGGTGAGGTTCGGGTTTCCCCGCCCCGCCCCCGCCCCCGGTTCTGCTCCTATTTTTTTCTTCTATTTTTCTTTTAAATAAATATGAACAATTTTAAAAAAATAAAAGAAAAGTAAAATAATATAAATTTTTACATATAAATATTTTTAATTTTGGTTTATATATATATAAAAATAAATTTTTAATTATATTATTAAGCGGGGCGGAGACGGGTATGAGAGCGGGTATGGGGGCGGAAGCGGGAGCGGGGTGGGTATTAACATCCCCGTCCCCGCCCCCGATTTTATCAATCGGGGAAAATCCGAACCCGAATCCAATAAGCATGAATTTTCCCCATTCAAATTGGGACGGGTTCGGGCGGGTACCCACGGAAGCGGGTTAGATTGTCATACCTAGATAGAAGCCTCCAAATCGAGGTTGGGTGAATGTGTGATGTCATTTTAAAAAGTGTTAATTAACCACAAGTAAAAGAAAATGGAATGGTGAATGTGGGATTTTTTGTTATTATATTATACTATGGTGAGAACAATTAATTTACCCATACTAAATATAAACTTGGAACAATAAACATTATGAAAGTATATGTGAATGAATAGAAGTATCCTATCATCATAGTTTAATACAAGTTTAGAAGTACTTTTTAATGTTTCAATAACTTATATTTGAATGAATTATATGTCAAAAATCATCAATTTTTTTTAAAAAGAATGACAAAAATATTCTCATTACATTAAAATAAAAATGCCTACACAAAAAAGAGTTGAGCCACTAAAATTATGTTAAGAATGAAGAATTTAAATAATTTACGTGAAGTTATAAGTAATTTATTCTCATTATTGTTAAAAATATATCGCAATAGACACAAAAATAAATAATAAAATATAAAAGTTTTTCTTTTTCCTTTTTATTAAAAACTGTGAAGAGAGAACTTCACGATTTTTCAGAATTAAAGCGATATAGATAAACTCCTTTTTCAAATAAATACATTTTGAAAAAATCAAGTTAAAGACCTGTAAGAATTCGAATATTGCTGTTAATATACATATGCTATCGATGAATAATTTATATTTTGTATATATATTTTAATAAGAAAAATTATTATGGATTACATAATTCGTAATTAATTTACATGTAATTAAATATTATTAATTTTTCTCATAAATTATAAAAATTAAATGTGTATTATATAGAGATTGGCTAAAATTATAGACATGTGATGATCCTAAATTATCTAATAAATTTTCATTTTAATAAGTATACTTTGAGTCTTAGGTATAATAAATTATTGATATTTGCGTTTTGAGTGTTGAACTTTCATATCCTTCGTGAATTTTAAGATTTGTCCTAAGATGAACTTTCAATACTCAACATATATTAAAGATTTGGAAAAAGAAAGATATATTAAAAGTTTCAGAAAGACATTTTTTACTATCATTATTTGTTTAATCAAATTATGTCGTTTAGGTGGTCGAATAAAATGCATAAATATTTATAAGAATTTATAAATGGTTAGTGTAAAACTAAAATTTATATAAATCATGTAGTTGTCGACTAATCACTTGGTATATAGTAATATTTGGTTTGAGAATGTGTAGCATATGATTGACTTTCTTGAATAATTATGAGGTCCCATTTTTTTATTATCTATTATTTTAAAAATAAAAATGAAAAACAGCCATTTCTTCTCGTAGTTTATTTTAAATTCACGATAAAAAAAAGAAGAAAATAGTCTCAGGCACTTATCCTAATATTTCATTCCCCTTCTTAGGTCCACTACAATTCAGAACTAGTTTTTTTTGTCGTAATACTCACAAATCTTTCCGTTCCCCCAAACACGCCCTCTTATCTCCAAACAAAAAACCCCAAACATCATTTCGCTACTAACCACTCTCAGTCTCGTTCAACAGGTTCCCCTTCTCAACTCTCACCTATTTATTCAATTATCCAATTTTGATTTCTATGATATTGAAACTGACGTGTTAATGGGTATTTTTGTTTCGATTCATTTGTTCTTTCAATGTATTGCTGTGAAACCGGTGCGGAACTGAAACGGGTTGGACAATGTAAATAGTATTAGTTATCTATATCCTAAAATTGGTAATGCTGTTCGTCGTTGCAGCTTTTTTAATTGTTCTGAAATGAATTTGACCATAAACTTCTCAATAAACATTTTTAAAAGAAAAAAAATAAGAAGAAAAAAATGAAATAAACTTTTTCTTAAGTTAAAATTAGCTATTCATAAGTTCAAAAACAAATTTTGGAGAAGTTATGACATAGCTTTTGCAAATAAGCTTCTGCATGGCTTTTAATTGTTCTGAAATGGATTTAGTCACATTTGGACAAAATTTACAATAAACATTTGTAGAAGAAAAGAATGAAATAGACTTCTCTGAAAACTTAAATTAGCTTCAATAACATAGTTTGGAAAAACTAATATGAGAGAATTTTTGCAAATTAGCTTATGCATAAGTTAATTTTAGCTTTTGGAAAAACTCATGTTATATACTTTTAAAAAGATATTATTAATTACCTTTTCTTTTTCAAGTATTTTATGTTAGCGTTCTCAAATCTAAGTAAATTTTAGCCTGTTTACAGTACAATATGTAAATGATAAAATTGGAGCTTGTCTATACGTTTTGAGGATGTGACCGTGCCAAATATCATTATAAAGGTGAACATCCCACGAGTTTATAGAATTAAAATTAATTGTTCTGCTTTGTGTTACACTATGTTGTTAAGGGTGATTTCTTTTCATTCTATTTATTCTGAAAGCAAAAACGTTATTGGCAAAATGTTGGGGTTGGCCCCAGGTTATTTGCAACCATACCTTGTTAAGACAACAACTTTGATCAGTTTTCAATAGAAACAAGGTTGAGTTGTTTGGCAAATTGGACTTTTTTTCTTCTTAAATTCTGATATAGCCAAGTTATCAAATTGTTCATCTTACCTAATTTATTTTTGCAGAATTGAGTTATTTCTAACTAGCCTCCCATCCAGTTAGGCACTGGATTCCATAGGATAAAAGCTTATCAAGAGTAGAGTTTCCTTGCAAAATCTGGTTAAGAATCTCTACTCAGGTGCATGGCAATGGTGATCTCTTCTGTTCATGCCACACTATTTGCCAGGACCTCTTTCTTTTGCCAAAGTAATGGCCTAAGAAGCTTTAGATTGTGTTTACCTTTCTCATCTTCAGCCGCTTCTGTCTCCTCTGACAATCTTTCACGGAAGAAATGGAGGCAGCCAGTGTTATCAGTGTTAGATCTTGGTGGAGTCAAGATAAGCAGAGAAGGTACTGTGGGTATTGCTTGTTGTTTTGAATGTTTATTGTCTTATAAATGCTATTTGAGTCTTTGAGCTGTAATCACATATGACAATCCATTGAAACAACTTTCAAACTTGGTTAGGAATGCACTGATATTCTCATTTTTTTCGTAGTTTTGAATAATTTGATCCACTGACAGATGTTCCATGCAACCAGCAATTGCATGGTAATTCTTAAGGAGAATGTACACGACTATAACCTATTTGTGCATTTTCTGTGAGTGAATGACATTGAAGTTATTTTATTTAGTTCTATGTTTGGATATAATTACTATTGTAAAAGTGACTGGTATGTTTTTGGCAGCATATAGCATTATTTATTCTACTTCTTTTGCTTTCTATATGCCTTTACATTGGCAGTGCTGCTTTATGCTAATGTTATAGTTGAAAAATGTCCTTTGGTTTATAAAATTCTTATAATTTCTTATTCATGATCTTATAGATGTGATGAGGGATGATCCTACAAATAATGTGCCAGACAATATATTTTCAAAGCTAGGAATGCAGCTTCACAGGAGGGATCAACACCCTCTTGGGATACTGAAGAATGCTATATACGAGTATTTTGACACAAATTATTCAAATAACTTCAACAAGTTTGATGATCTTTGTCCTATTGTTTCAGTGAAGCAGGTTTGTTAAAATAACTTGAAAAATTAGTTTCCTTTTGCTCCTATTATATGATGCATTGATATAGTTGGCTGTTATATTGTTGCACATATGTTTATACTCTATAGCCACTTTTGCATTTAGTTCCTTCTTGATCTATGCTGATTATTCTTATGATTATTTCATGCCAATGAAATGAAATCCTCTAATTGTCATTTGATGTTATTTGAGTAATTTGCATGTTGATTTTCTTCTGTGGTAGAAGATATTTGTGCAATATAAGATTACAATTTACAAATGTCATAGTTTTTTCTTCAAGACTCTGGAAAAGCATTTTGAATTTAAAGCCTTAAAAAACTACTAAAAAGGGAAGAAAAGTACTTTGAAAGTAATTGATACTAATTTTATTATGAATTTATTTTATACATTACATATGTTTATCCCGGTGATATTATATATTATTTATTTGATATGAACTCACAAAGCTGCCTAGTAAAGGGAACGGTGCTTTTCCCTTGACATTTAATGGATGGTCTACTCACAGACGATTGAGTCATTGACCTTATATATTTTTTTTCTTGCTTTGAACCCAAGGCTCGTATTAAAACTTCCTACAATTTCTGTTTGGGTATGTCTGGCTGATAACATGCTTGGGGGCTTTTGATCAAATGGATTTGTTCTTCAGTCTTTTTCATGGTGCACTTTAGATAAAATTATTTCATTAATCAGTATTTTCTTGTACATGGTTGCATTTGATCAAATGACTTAATTCTTCAGTTGTTTTTTGTGATGCCATTTAACCAGTGTCTGCAGATTCTTTAATCCTTTCCTTTTGAAAAGTTATATAAAACATAGGAAAAGGGTGTAAAGAAAGAATGCTATTCAAAACAGATGACTATAGTAACATTATTTGTACATGATTGCATATAAACAATGCTAGCTTTTTGAGCATAATTTTATCTTATTTCTTTCTGACAATAAACAATTTTCTGATGTGCTAGCTATATTTGACAGGTTGAAGTTCAAGTTTCACTATCATATTTATTTAAACTACTATAGTAATTTTTGAAACCACATTTTAGAATACTGCTGTCTTGCCAATGTTACATTTTCAACACAATATAAGAGTAAATTTGACTCTGCAGCTCTGCTAGTATAATACTTCTAATAATTGTTTTTTATCCCATTCATTTTGATTGCTTATCTTGCTTATTGCTTCTTTTTGGTTGATAAGGTGTTTGAACTCTGGTGGATTCTTTTGTGACAATCTTCTTGTTAGAGTTTTTTCCAGGTGGTCTTGGCTCTTGACAATCTGTTTCTTGTTGCAGAATTTTGATGATGTCTTGGTTCCTAAAGATCACGTAAGTAGGAGCTATAATGATACTTACTACATAGACCCTCAAACTGTTTTAAGGTGCCACACAAGTGCTCATCAGGCAGAATTATTGAGAAGTGGATACACTCATTTCCTTGTTACAGGAGATGTTTACCGTAGAGACTCAATTGATTCAACTCATTATCCAGTCTTCCATCAAGTATGCCTCCATATGTAATGACTGTCTTAATTTAATAATGATAAACTTCATATAAATTTCTCTTTTTTTTTTATTATGTAGATGGAAGGCTTTCGGGTTTTTGCTCCAGAAGAATGGGAGGCATCTGGAATGGATGCCACATTATATTCAGCAACAGACTTAAAGAAGTGCCTTGAGGGTCTAGCACGCCATTTATTTGGTATTTCTATGTGGCCAATGTACACACTTCATTCAGTTGCTGCATTTTGATAATTAATGAGAATCTGTAAATTGAATGGGTTAAAGGAAACAAAACAATCAATTCAAGTTTGCTAGATACTTCATCTATATGTCATATACATCAACACATGCATTTTCCATTGTTCATGACAAGCTAAAAACACTTTTTAAGAGATTATGTAGAGAGAATTTGCTTTATGACTTTTGACTGTGATCATGGACTCAAGTTGGGAAAACATCCTCGCTGAGGACTGAGGGTAAGTAAGTTGTATACATCTAACTTTCTATAGACAATGGTAGGATCCTTGTGGCATTGGGCTTCCCTTTAGGTTACAATTTAGCTGTCCCAAAATTATATATAAAAAAAAAAGTTTTGTACAATAATATCTACAGAATACATGTGCATAAATTATATAGAATTTACTATTATATACTTAGAGTGGTCAAATAAAGCTATTAGGTTCTCCCCTTCACATTCCCCAATTTTGGGGGGAGCTAAATATGAGCGAGGAGGGATTTTAGTGCCCTTCCCTTGACCTCCCTCCAACCAAACATTATTTAAATGATTTTCTTTTGTTAAATAATAGTCTCCTTAAACTTCAAGCAATGTTTTAAGGTTAAAAGAAAAATATATATTAACTACAAGTTATTAATTGGGATTATTATTACATAATTCTTGAGCTAAAATAAAACTCTATCAACAGGAAAGTGGGAAATAATAAATATTTTATGATGATATTCCCATTGTGATGTTAAAATGCTAAAGTTTTTTCTACAAGAAATTAAATATTGAAGGTGTGTAGTTGTGAACTTGTGATAATCCATTGAAGCAAAGTATAACTTACAAAACTGCTTATAATTTTTTCCCTTTAACTGTTTCAGGTGCTGTGGAAATGCGCTGGGTGGATACTTATTTCCCATTTACGAATCCATCGTTTGAACTTGAAATATATTTCAAGGTATGCTATGCATAATTGCCTCTTTAACATACCATGCCTATGTAATTCCTGTTGCTGGCTTTTTACTCTGAAATCATGGTGCCAATAAATGTTATGTTTTCCAAAGCACATTGGTGTACGGGGAATATTATCTTAGTCCTGTTTGGTTCACCATGGGATGAGGGTTAAGTGATGGTATGGGGTACCATCTGCCTGTAAACTTTTATATTATATTTATTGTGTCAATATATAACATTTTTGGATTGGATAACTGTCTTGATATAAAAATCTGGACAGGAGAATATTTGACCAAAAAATCCACATATATTAAGTAAACTAAATTTATCCTCAATCAAATTTGACACTTATAAATTCAAATAATATATCATTACCATATTTGTCTGTCTGGTTAGAATTTATAGATTTATAAAGTTTTATTATCCTTGTTCTTCTGTGGAGCAGTGGGACCCATTACCCAGTTTTATGCACAATGATATGCATAAACTTTATTTAAGTTAGCCTTCTTGAATTTGTATTTGTAGTAATAAATTAAATAGAATACAAGTGTAGTACTAATATGGTTAACAAAATAATATGATTAGAAGATTGTGCATTAATACATTATATACCGAAGTCCTTATTCATTGAAGTTCACTAGATTCATCCCAAATTAATTTTGGTATTTCAAATTTAAAATTTTATCAGCACCATATTTGACTACACTCGGTAGTTATTATAAGTTATCACTTGAGATTGATAACCATGAGTACAGGTGTAATTCAAATAGTACAATCCTAATGCTCAACACATAATACAATTTAGTTTTTAACAATCTTATTGTCCCCCTAGTTGTACTTTCTCTTATTTCATTTTAATGTAGTACACATTGTCTTGTAAGCCCCAAAGCATGGTTCCATGGAAAGCATCCCTATTAAGCCCAAAATTTTATTCTCTTAGTTTCTTTAATAGATTATTCTTATACCAGAATCCTAATTAGGTTGGCATGTTTTTCTTAAAGTCTAATTAGGTTTTTATCAGTAATTTAGAGTGGGACTAGAACCTGGAGGGGAAGTAATCACATTTGCATCACCCCACTACTTATATCGTTACTAGTTAGAGTGTATGCTTTTTAACCAGATTGAATTTTTGAAGCAGTTGCTTCATTAATGAATGATTTAATGGGCAGCTATCCATAAGTTATTTATACCTATACTTGTTTTATTTCTCTTCATCCCTGTCTTTTCACCACTCAATTCCTCTGATTCTAATTTGTAATATTATGAAGTAATGTTGAATATATCTTTTATTGCAGGAGAAGTGGTTGGAAGTTCTGGGGTGTGGAGTGACAGAACAAGAGATTCTGAAAAGTAATGGGAAAACTAATAATGTTGCTTGGGCTTTTGGCCTAGGGTTGGAGAGGTTAGCTATGGTTCTATTTGACATACCTGATATTCGTCTCTTTTGGTCAAATGACGAGAGATTTACCTCCCAGGTATTTCATGGATATGTTCAACAAACATCTTTTAATGCTGTCTCTTTTTCCTGGTTGCCATATTGTGACGTGACAACAAGAATTTATGATTTAGTCATCTTGAGAATTACAATATTATTTGTTTAGTTCTTTTTTGATCTCTTCTCTAATGTATTGTGTGCTTACTTTTTGATTATTTTATGTACAGTTCTCCAAGGGTCAGCTAGGAGTCAAATTTAAGCCATTTTCGAAGGTAACATCTACATGTCCAAATGTGTGCCTACATTTGTTATCATTTTTCGGAGTATGATCATGTCTTGTATCTCTTATTCCTTACAATATATGACTGCAATTGAAAGTTATATGAGAATGATTCATGTGATTGAAAGTTAAGATGGTCCACATAATTTGTTATGTAAAATTCTGTTAGTAGCTTAATATTATGCTGTTGTTCGATGAGAAAATATGGTGAGTTTTGTTGGTCAAAATTGCAAGATACAATTAGCCTTAGACCTTCATATGTCCATGGCTTTGATGCTTCACTATTTTAAAGGGCTTGTCATGATCTAGTTCAGATATAGTTAATTATTTTAAACTAACAAGTTTAGAGTATATTTTCTGCATTGTAGTTTTATTGTTAAATGATACTTTCATCTTTTATGTAAATCTCAGACCAGAAGACATTTAATTAAGCAATCTGATAGAAACTCAGAGTTGCTATCATTGTTCATTATCTTTCAATTCAAGCATCTTGTGGCATTATGTTCTCTGTATGTCCTTGTTATTATTGATCCTGACTCTAGACTCTTGAGGAATTTATATTCTTATTTTAGTGGACACATTTACCAAAATCTTGTAAGAACATTCTAACTTTTCTATTTGCCTTTACAGTATCCTCCTTGTTACAAGGACATGAGTTTCTGGATCAATGAATCATTTACAGAAAACAATCTGTGTGAAGTTGTCAGAGGGATAGCTGGGGATCTCGTAGAGGAGGTACATCTTTGAATAATTTGGGAAAACTTTTTCTGACATTTTAATTTTTTATATTTGTTTGGGTTTGCAGTTAGCTGCTTTCTTATTGTTGAATGGCAGCCAAATAAGTTACAACCATAGAAATAGTTCTTGGCTAGTTGTTCTCATAATGGAATATAAAACTTTCTGAGTTGAATCATTGAATGGAACGGAAAACTTATATTTTACTATGGTGCCTGATAAATAACATGGACCAGAAGTTTTGGGGAGCAAGTATTGTTGTACAGTAGGATACTGATTTACTGCTATTGCTAGTGCTCTTGTTGTGTGGATATAGATTACAGAGTTAGTTGCAGAAAGATATTGATGTAGAGATAGAACACAGTTTTAGTGGAATAGCTGAAATGATTTGGGCATTCATTATACTACTGTATACCATAAAAGACATTCATTATCTTTAAAGACATGGTGAATATGTCCATCAGTTTGTTGATTCAACAGTGCCAATAGCAATGCACCCTGAAAAGATTGACAGCAAACTTCTATATGGTTGGTCGTCTCATTAAAAGTATCATTGGAAACAATATTCTATGTTTGGACTTGATCCGGGCATTTGGCTGCATAGAACATCCTTTTTCTTACTCTTCCTGGGGGATCATGACATCGTGTTGTCTTATACTCTTATATTAGAATACAATATCATGAAGTGGATCTATTTCAACTAGACGTTCCCAATCTGTATTAGAATAACAAATCGCCTATGTATTGCCTTTGGCTTCATAAATAATCCCTTAGTGGGTTCTCCGGATGGATTTCACATTCCAATTTCTGTCACATGTACACATACTTCATTGTTCATGGCTGACTAACGTTGCTTTTGAGGTTCCCTTTAATTTTACTGCCAAGAATAAAAATCATGAGCAAAAAGGGAGCTTTTGTTTTCATTTCCTTTACTTGGCTTTTCAACTGTTTACCCTCGTACTCTTAGATTAATCACTTTCTCATATTTTTTCCCCCCTTTTCTCCCTATGAGTGCTACATTAAGTTTGTTCCCTTTTTCTGTTTCTGTTTTGCTTGTTGAAATTGCAGGTGCAATTGATAGACAATTTCACCAACAAGAAAGGAATAACCAGCCACTGCTATAGGATTGCATATAGGTCTATGGAACGTTCTCTTACGGATGAGGAAATTAACGATCTGCAGGTATTAAAATATAATTAGAAATACTAGTACAATCATAACTAGTCTTGGTTTTATGTTGTCATATTTTGTTTTGAAAGTTACCAACACTTTGTTTTCCCCATGTCAATGCAGTGGAAAGTAAGAGAACAAGTGCAGAGCAAATTGAATGTTGTCTTAAGATGAGCTTTAAATGGTGATAATTTTCAGCTTTGCAGTGTTTGATCTCAATTTTGTTAATGTATAGTTGTTTTATCTTACAGCTTTAGACACATGTATTATTTAACTTCTGCATAGTGAATAACATACACTACATAGCGAACCATGACTAGCCCACAGGAATCTGCATTCTCTATTTTCCTTGTGAACATAATGCTGTCATGTTTTGTTGGAAAAATTGCTTTGTTAAAAATTGCCGAACCCTACACATGATATGGTATTTCCGCCAACAATAAAATGTTTTCGTGTTTCATGACACAGCACTGATATGATCTTACAGGAAAATAAAAGAATCCTCATTGCCAACAGTGGGCTTGTGGACTATTGTTTACATTAGGGATCCATCTTTTTGTCTAAATGTACGTAAGAGATGTTTCGATTTGTGCTATTCAGGATATGCCAAAGGAATGTATGTAGTGACAGTTGCTAAGCTTCTGTGATAGCAAGGTTTCGTATAAATTTATGGCTTACATTGTTACTTTTCTTTGCTAGAAAAAGTCATAGAAGAGAAACATTTAGAGAACTATTGGTACATGAATTTTTTTTCTTTCACGTTTGAAAATCATGAGAATCATAAGTCATGAAAATCATAATTTTTATGAATGGTTAAAATTCATTTGGTTGGTCATAAATGTTCTCAATAATGTTTATGAATGTTATTTAAGAATTAATTTTTTTATTGTATTAAATGCAAAAATAAAGGTAATATAACATATTACTGGAATAAAACTTTCTATTTATGTCGAAAATGTTAGGGGTTTGGCTTGAGAAAACATTTTCAGTTTTCATTTTTTATTTTCATTTTCAAATTTTAAGATTTACAAATCATGTTTGGATTAATTTTTTATTTTTTTATTTTCGCTTTCAAAAGATAAAACATTGAAAGTATGCATGATGGTGCTGTAGCCATAGACGCATGCAATGAGTGAATGCCCTCATCCTTTCCCTCCGGTCTCTAGATTACAAGTGTAAAAGAAATGCGGCTAAAATTACAAACCATGCCAATGTGTTTTCAGTTTTAGAGAAAGTGTAGAAATAGACGATTTTTTTTATTTTCAGTTTGTCTTAATTTAAAAATATTTTCAAAGGAAACGCTTTCAATCATTTAATCAAACGCATTTTTAATATTATTTTCTATTTTCTTTAAAGATGAAAACAGAAAACCATTAAACCAAACAGTCTCTTAGTTTCTCATTCTTCTTATGCTACCAATTTTGTTGGAAGCATATGTAAAAACTATTATAAAGATTATGTTAGTTGGAAATGCTAGATTTCCATTCTTCTTATTTTTTAATTAGTAAACTAAACATCCAAAAAATTAAGTTATTCAATTTCATATTTCTGACAAAGTAAAAAATCTTTGTACCGCTTTCTTAGAGCATAAAACTTACACACAAGATAGGTTTATTTTGATTAACTTTATTAAAAAATAAATAATTTAATACAAGAGAAAAATAAAAAAAATGAAATAATTTATTCTAAAAATTAAAATTAAATTATGCATAACATAATTTTCAAGTTTATATATATATAAACTAATTTTTAAATTATGAAAAATTAATTTAGTTTACAAGTAGGTTTATTGTATTTTTTTTTTCTTTTAGAAATACTTAGGAAAAAGTTGACTTAAATACGTCTATATAGTCGTAGGATCTATCCCAAGGTTACAACCTAAGAACCATAAGTGTCTTTCTTTCCGCTCATTTTTAAGTTATTACACATTGTGAGAGCTAGACCGAACTGAAGTGTGCCGTGCCACTTCCTCTGTAATTATATATAAGTAAAAAAAAATATTAAATTCACATATATTAAGAAAGATAGTTAAATATTTTTAATTTTTATAATTTCATGTAAAATATATACTATACTTATTAAAATATTTTGTCATATTTATTGTAAATAATGTTATCATTTATTATCATAAGAGTATTTTTTTGATTATGAATATGAAATAAAAAATAAAACTTAGTTACATTTCTTTAGATGGATTGGTGCTATTTTTCAATATCTAAGAAGTTGTATCTAAATTTCATCCTTAAATAAAACCAAGTTAGTTGAGCCCAATTTTTTTTAAAAAAAATTATATATAAGATTAAGTTAAGAGGAAGTACCAAGTAAATGAATTCCAGAGATATTTTATGATGCAACTCATTTTGTACCGTAACTAAAAAAAATGTGAAGCTTATTTATTTTGAATTTGTTCAAGCTATTTTTTAATTTAAATATATTTTTAGTCCCAGAAAAATAAATAAATTTTGATTTTGATCCTTGTAAAAAATTTTCTATGTTTTTCATCCTTCAAAAATTTATGAACATTATTCTTTTACCCTTATAAAATATTTTTATTCTTGTAAAATGAGTAAATTTTAATCTTAATTCCTATGAAATATCTTTTTTGATTTTCATCCTTCTAAAATATAAAATAACTATTTTTTGTCCTTATCAATTTTAAGATATATAAATAAAATTTATTTTAAAAAATAATTACATAATAAATAATGATTAAAAACATTTCTAAATTTTAGAGGATAAAAAACAAAGAAAAAATTTATAAGAAACCAAATCAAAAACTCATTTATTTTGAAATGATTAAAATCATATTAAAGCCTTCGTTTTTATTTCACCTATAACATAAAAACTGTCTATTATCAAAAATGGACTTTTTTAAACATTAATTTTTGCTTATTAGGCATTTCATTCTCCAACAATTTTACTTGTCTTTTAAAGTTTAAGAAGAAAAAAATATTCTACTTGACATCCAACATAAACATTTGATCTCAACTGACTTATAAGGGCAACACAATTAGATATTATTATATTTGATGCTTCATTGAATCTTTAAAGAGAGATGTTTTTTTTACTAAAAATACTTGAAAACAATGTAACGTATAGTCCTTGGTTTTCTGACTTTGAAATATTGCATGAATTATCATCATAATTCCTAACAAAGCAGCCCAAGTGAACACGTAAACCTATATCAGCTCACTTTGTCCTATTACATTGCCTAAAAGATTTTCATCTTTTTTAATCCATATAAATCGAATTCGATACCGATAGTTTATAACAACCCACACACTATTCAATCATCTGAGTCAGATGCCTTGGTTATAGCTTCCCTTATCTACTATTGCATGAGGACAAAACATTATATTCATTAAAGCATCTAACACTCTTAAGCATATTAATAAATTTTGGATTACTACTATACAGTATAGAAAATGACCCGCTATAACTAAGTGAGAAAAACCTTTTTTTATCTTCAAGTGGAGGTGGTCAACAAATTAAAGTAACCAGATCTATCGAGTATAAAAGCAGTACAATCATTCATTGTCCCCTAACTCATACAGCAACCGGTGTCTCCCCTTCTTGTTCACTGCCTTTATCACCATCACTTCCTTTAGATGCATTCTGCAAAAACCTGTGTTCTGAGGGCATATTTTTCTTCGCTTTCCGGCTTCCCTCGATTTTCCATAGATCCCATACCCGAGTTTTTGGTGGTGGTGATGCATCTGCAATTGGTGCAACTAATCCTAGTTTTCCATCATCAATGACACCATCAATTAAACCATATTCTTTAGCTTCCCAAGGATTCATGAAGTTATCACGATCGGTGTCCAATTCAATCTGCAGATAAAATAAATTAGAGTGTAAAAAATAACATGCATCATATTGGACAAAACACTAATGAGATATTTAGATAGAGTGGATTCATCTGATATCTAACCTGTTCTTCAGGCTTCCCTGTAATTCTTGATAGTATCTTGTTTATCTTAATCTTGTGATAAGCCATTTCTCTTATACGGATGCTCATTTCCGTAGCCTGCAATTATGTTTTCTCTATTTAGAAATATATAATGAAAAGTTTTTGCACAGAGCCATCAAGAGAATAACCATTATACAAGCTAATTTTCAAAAGAACTTATTATGCATATTGTAATTGCATAGTGATCACACCAGACATTATGAGTTCCTAGTAGATGATCAAAACAACTACAGGCAAAATACTTCTATTAATCATCAAAGTATTTATCAAAACACATTTTTTGCAATAAAATGTTTGGTTTCAGCAATATTTTTGGAATATCAAACTAGCAGCATTCTAATGCATCTACACAAAGAAAGGCATGCCAATAAAATGTTGACCTTTCAATAACCATCAAGGTGGCCTTCAAACCAAATAATCACTTTTATAACTTCTTTTCCAGGTTCAAACCAATAAGCTTGAACCTCAACTGGCACTGACAAAAGTATATTAGATCAGTGTGACAATGAAATCAGAGATTCAATATCCAACACGGTTCCACACATCCACCTCATTCTTGCACATCTAATGCACCAACCAAAAACAAAAAGCTTGTAAAAGCATCTAAATGTCCAGTAAACAAAGAAAATGACAGGTACGTTGTTTATACTTAAAAGAAATTGGAACTCTGTACAAATCACAAGGTTTCATGTCCAGATAGTAAGTTTATAAAAATGCCTTCATTATTACCAAGGCTGTCGAAGTGAGGTATATGTTCTGAATGAAAAGGCTTATTTTCAAGAATTGAGTATCATTTGTTGCACCACATTGTATGAGATGGAATCATGGAAAAAATGTTAATTAGGTTAGAAACATATTCTTAACCGTCATATCAGTTTTTCACATTCTATGGGATGCTTGTATGCCTTCATACTAAAAAGAAAAACTAAACTTGCACAAGAGCTGCTAAGCTAAGGAGTTTGGAGTGCACTTGGGGGGTTAATCCCATAATGCATTCCCATCCCCTCACCTCCCCTCAGTATCCCAGTAGGAATATACAGTGTAGCGTAGTATCCACCCCCCCAAAAAAAAAAAAAAAAAAAAAAAAAAAAAAAGG